TTTTGAGGAAAGGCTCCGGGACTTGACCCTGTCTCTGTTGAAGATCACAGGAAGAGGCCTTAGCTCCACACCCTTCCAGATGCCTTTAAGCCAGCCCATGTTACAAGAGGTAGTTTGCCCTTCTCTACCCCTCTCAGGGCATGTTACAGGCCTGATCCTGACTGTGCCATGGGGATCTGGGTCTCTCATTGAGTTCAGGCATTCAGCACCCAGCCAGAGGCGCTCCACGACCCCAATAAGTGAAAGCCACCAGCAGCCTCCCCATCAGGGAGGTAGAGAAGCGTTACCACTAAGATGCAGCTAGGTCTGGGGTGGAGCGCAGCAGCTAGAGCCACACCATGGGACATTTTAGGCAGGAGCAGATGCATAGGATGCCAGCAGCAAGCAAAAACACACCAGTCAGCACTGGACTCTGGCCACAGCACTGGGTGAGCACCAGGCCCCTGCATAGCAGTGGGGTATGGCTCCTCGGGGCCCAATTCCAGGGCCAGGGACCCGGTAGAAGTTGCACCTTCTGGTGCTGGAAGCAAGGTGAGCACCTGGCACCTCGGATCAAGTCCTTCTCTGTGTCTTGGCCAGCAGGCAGCTTCCAATGTCCCAGCCCTGTGACAGCCTGCCAGGGGGCCACAGGGGCAGGCTGCGGAGATGGCAGGTGGGTCATAACAATGAGGTCTTAGCAGGTCCCACATCATAGCAGACAAGACAACCGCCATCAGAGCCCAGGTGCTTGGAAGCAGTTGTGTGCATCCACCGTACAATGTTGGTGCCATGTACTATGCATTTGCTACGGTGCCCGTGTCCACATTAACTCTCCCAGGCCTCAGGCCAGCGCAGGTCCAGAACCAATAAGCGGCTTAACCAACGCCCGCTAAACCAATGAAAAACCTCCCCTTGTTTTCAACAGCCTCCAGTTGGGGCCCAAAAGACTAAAAGCAGAGCAGGAGCTGGATGGTGTGGCTGGCTCGGGGCCGAAGAGGAGCATTAGGCCTCACGAAGCGGAGCGTCAGACACGTGCTAGGCCATTTACCTCGCTGACGAGCCAAACATTGTGCCGCAAAGCCCTGCTGTTTTCCTAACCAAGCGCAGCTATTTTGGGCAGGATAAACCCATTAGAAAAGCTATTAGACAGGGTTTAATTTAAAGTTGCATGAAGCTTAAATACCTTCATTGTGCAACGTCCTACAGATGTCACCTGAATATTTGATCACCAGCTAGGATACAGTTCTGCAGGCTCAGAGCACACATCCTCCCCCCACCGGATAAATAGGTCATTCAGCCCACGCCGGAGATGGAATTTGGGCATGAAATTAATTGCAACAGATTGCATCAAAGCCCTGCGCCCAGCGATAGCGTCCTACCTGACATGAGAGATCAGCAGAGCGGCTCCCTTCTCCCCAGTGCTGTGGCTGGCAGCCAGCCCGGTCCCAAGGAAAAGCACAGCTCATCCACGCAGCCTGCTTAAGCTGAACACAAATGCTAAGACAGAGCAGAAATCCGCCGTGCCCTGTGGACACATCACATACCCTACATCGGGTGTGTATCAGAGCGACCGGGCTTAGTCACAGTCAAAGCGGGTGGAGGGGGTGGGAGCTATTTGCTGCACCCAAGAGAAAATGGTCTTGGGGCCAAATGTGGCTGTGGTGTAAGTGGGGAAACCTCCTTTTTTTTCTTTCGGCTGCACTGGAACTGCATGGAGCCTTCTCACGCCAGAGCAGAGCTCAGCTGCTTCCTGCTTGGTCCCTGCCAAGCCAGTGGTTTCGTAGTTTCATAGCTGTTTGGGGCTGGAAGGGACCTTGCAGGTCATCAGGCCCCCCTGCACTTGGGAAGGAAAAACTGCTGGTATCACAGAGACATACGGGAGAAAAGGAGCCCGGCCTTCTGGTGCGAAATGAGGCCTCTGCCCGGTTCGATGGCAAGGCAGAGGAAATTTCTTGCCATCACGGGAACTGGAATCTACTCGCAGGGGATGGACGCTGGCTGCCAGTTATTTCGGGGATGCATCAAGTCTTGTCACGCCCTTACCCCGGATGCAGGGTGTGCAGCTCGCCCGTGGATTCTGTGCTGGAGATCACGGTCCTACAGGCCGCTGGCAAACATAGGGCAGCCCTGCTAGAAAGGAGGGGAGAGAGACACTTCACGAGCACTGTTATGTGGGTCCCAAGGCAGCCTAGGATGAAGGGGCTGGACCCAATGATCTGTAAGGTCCCTTCCAGCCCCTAACAACAATGAAGCTCTGAAACTACGAAGACCAAACCTGTCAGTTCCCCGAGGGATTTTCCAGCACTGTCTGCTCCATCCAACATGAGTCAGCTTCATAGCTATGCCACATGAGTACAAACCACAGCCTGGATCAAAAAAGAGCAACGTGGGAACAATGAACAGTCCTAGAGGAACACAGAGCGAGCCTGGCTCTTCTAGAGAGAGGTGAATGATAAAGGGAGTGCCAGGTGCCACCTCCTCTTTCCCCAATCTTAAAAGAAAGTTAAGATCATTTCCTTCATGCCACAGCAGATTCGACATCCTTCCCTCAAACACCAGTGGGGTGTTTCCCCTTTAAAGGGACTCTCTCACATGGATCTTACCTGTAGGAGACTATCCCCTCCATCCCCAGCCTGTGCTGTGCTGGTAATGACCACCAGTAGACCTCAGGTCACCATATCCCAGTGGTTCTCAACCATTTTAGATGCAAGGTTCCCCTCGTTAGACTCAAGGGCCCCTTTGGAAAATGCCAGTTTTTAGTGTTCGTGCATTTTTTTGACTACAAAAAAATAACAGAGCAGCTCTTCTGTTGCAAAGGACTCAGAAAGCCTGAAGCAGGGCAGAGTGGTTTTAACACCAGGCTGCTTTGCAATCACTGGGTTTATCTTGTGAATCGTGGGGGGAGCCCTAACAGCAATAACACTGCAGGCCATCCTTGAAAGGATCCCAAGGCATCCCAGGGTGGCAATGGTTGAGAATCACTGACAGTGAGAGCAGCTGCCTCGGATGCAGGTGCTTATGGAGAGCTGGGGGGTCACATGCAGGTGCCCGCCGCAAGGGGGCACCATGACCACATGCTTGACTAGGTCCTGGCCAGCAGAAGGGCCTCATTACGTGGTAATTTTGGGCAGCTCCTGGAGCTCTTCATCCCTGGATGTTCTGCACATTAACACCTTTAAGTGGTTTTAAGCACTCGTTAGGCGGCTCAAAGTTATGCCACTTCAGGGGAGGATTATCTCTGAGCAGCACTACGCCAGCTCTGTGGGGCCACTCCCCAGATGAAGTCCTCCAGTATCCCAGGATCTCTCACACTCCTGCCCGTAGGCCTGCCCTGGCTCACCAGTCCTCCAGGGGCAACTCACAGCTACAGCTCCTAGTCCTGCCTCTGCTCCCCAGGCCTCCAGCGGCAAGTCACAGCTGTGCAGATGGGGGGGGACAGTGAGAGAAGGTTTCTAGATTAAGGATGCAACTGCTCCAAACTCCAAGCTAGCACTAACATGGATCAGCATTTGTCCAGCTCACAGTGCAAGGTCCCTAGAAACAGCCAGGAGCAGAGCGTGGCTGTGCAATCAGATGCAACCCCTTTCCAGCACCAGCACAGCCGCCTGGCCTGCAGCCAGCTGCTCCGGTAGGCAAAGGGGTGGAGGGCTATTTTCCCTCTGCACGGAGAAGCTTTAAGGCAGGGCAGGGACACCAGAGTGGTAGCCACCGCACTGCAGCCACCTCCTTCAGACAAGGCCCTTCCCAGCCTGCGCCTCCACTTACCCTTCTTCAAAACAGGGACGATGCCAACTCATCTCTCATCAACAGGATTTGATGCTTCTGTGAAGATGACAAGCATCGCATCATACCTTGCAGGGGCCAGGTTGTCAGCATGGCTCGGCTCCCCTATAAAACCCCCATACATTGACAGCACTTTATAAAGCATCTCCCAGGAGCTAGCGGCAGGGAGAAAGGCTTGCCATGGGACTGGACTAGCATGCTGAGCTCACACAGGGCATCACACTTGGCAGTTTTACTGAAATCATCACTGCTTAAGCAATCATGTCATTTGAAGCAACTTCCGCAGTGGCAGATCTGCCCACCCAACCCAAGCACGCTCTGGGGTGAGAGCAGATGGTTTTTTTCCCAGGGAGAAGCAGAAGTAAAGTCTGTGTTAGGGGCCTGGAGCACCTTTGTCCAGGCTTTTTAATTAAATCTGTGCGAGGGAAAGGTAATTCATCCTCCAAAAGCTTTTAAGTTCCAGAGTTAAGCAGCAGAGGGAATTGAGGGGGCTGTAACATCTGGGAGGGTGTAAAGTCCCTTTAGGAAGCCAGAAGGTGCAGCCAGGCAGAAGGAATCAGGTGGCTGGACAGATTCCCAACTGAGAGCATTAAGAAAGGGCCCAAGCTGCAAAGAGAGGCAGGCAGAAGGAGCTTGCAGAAGCTGGAAAGCCTTAAAAGCCTAAAGAGAGAAAGGCACTGGTTTATTTGGTAGCCTGAAGGGAAAAGGCCCTGCTTTTGGTCTGCCTAACTTTCTTTCCTGAGGGCTTTGAATTAAGGACCTGTTTGGGACCTGGAAAGCATGACCGTGGCTCACATGAGAGCCGTTGGCAGGAAGCGCTTCCAGCGCACGTGGCTATGTCTAGAGGAGAATGGAGCTCATATCACATCCCCATCTACCCCAATTTTCCAGATCACTCAATCAAGGGCACCGCTGGCCCACAAAGTAATAGCACTTTATCCTATAGGGTAGCAGGACCACCCTCCTCCCCACTGTGTGAACACAGATATAGCTGCCTCCTAGCCCTGTATTGATATAAAGGAGCTTAAAGCAGCACCGGTTATCCTGCATAGGAAGAACAAGTGTCACAGCTGGTACTTTGAAAGAGCAGGCCCATACTCGGACAGCCGTGACCGCTGCAGGGACAGTCCCCTGTCCCAAGTCCCAGCACAGTGCCAGGAGACAGGGAGGGAGGGCTGTCTCTCTGCTGGGTGGCCATGCAGCACCTGACACCAAAGCACCACTCCGACAGCCAGCAGTTGCAATGCACACAGTACTTTATTGTGGAGCTCTCAATATAAACCATCCACTGAAGCTGGAAACTGGTCATGATTTTGGCCCTTATACACAAAGACAGTAATGGGAAACATTATATGCTGGTAATAAAATGGAGCAAAATATCTTTTTGGTAACTGAAGCCAAGGGGCCTGACTGAGCACTGCAAAGGGAAACCCAATTTTGATGGCACCTGGACTTCCCGTAACATCCCAAAAGAACAGGGCCCCACGCTGGAGGCAGCAAGTATGCGGACTGGTCTGGTTAGACGCTGTATTGTAGGTAGGGGAGAGGTGTTTGAGAGGCAGGAGGAATCTGAACAGCTGCTGCAGTGAATGCTGCCTCCGCAGAAGCAGAGGATGGTCCATGGCAGGGTGTCGTCAGGGTACAATTGGAAACGAGGAAGCCAGCCCAGCATGGCGTGCTGAGGAAGAAGCCGGTTTGGATGCCTGTCGACGAGGACAGCACCCTATTGCAGGTCTTAGGGCAGTGTGACCCGAAATACGATCTTGCCTGACTTGGGAGGAGAGAAAAAGGATGAATGCTTGTTCTGCACAGAGCTACAATGGGCTGCGATTTCTCACGTTTGGCTTCCCTCGTCCACCGCTCGCCCCATGGTGGCAAGCTGGTGGAACTGGGCTGAACTGATAGCAAGGAGGAACAGTGACTGGCTCCTGGGTTTCAGACACAAATCAAGGTGGCCAACAACTGGGGTTTCACCAGGCGTTTGTGGCTGGGTTCCACCTTCCCCTGTGGCTCAAGAGTTCTCGGGCACTTCAGGTTGGGTAGGGAGCTGGGAAGGGAGTGGGTTTAGCCTTCTTATGGGAGGTCAGGTGCACCCCAGCAGAGAGCACGGCTGATCCATCCTTCCTGGCAATTCCTGTTTTCAGGTAGACAAGTGTGGGAGGAGGCTGCAATGACCAACCTCCCATCCCCACCGCCATCAGGCCGAGCATCGTCCCGAGGCGTCACAACATGCGGGTGACGACCATGGTGAGGAAGTCTTCGTAGCTGAGACGGACACTGCCGGACATCCCCGCATCCTTCTCTCGAAAGCTTTCAGTCAGGCTCTGGAGCTGGATGCAGACCTGGATGAAGCGATCCAGCTGGATGGTGGGGTTGGGGGCCCGCTGGGAGTAGCGGGATAGCAGCAGCTGGGTGAACTGGGGGCTCAGACTGTATCCCATCTGAGACAGAGCTGGGAGCAAGGGAGCAAGGGAACGGAGAAAATGAACTCCCACACATCTCTCCAGGAAGAGTATTTCCACCCCCATCTCTTCAAAATGCTGAGACACTCCCCCTAATGAACACACCTTGACTGGAGTTGCAATGTTATTTAACCTGATTGCAACCCAGGGCTGAGCTGGGTGCTAGGAACATAATGTGGGCACACCCTTCCGGTGCTTCCTACACAAAAGGCTTACTCAGACCATGGCCACACCTCCTGCTCTCCAAGCCCTGGGAAGAGAGTTAGCCACAGGGTGACCAAGTCTGCTACAACCGGTAGAGATTCAAGGGAAACCTGATTCAGCTGAAGCTTCCCGCTCTGCTCCGCTGCAGAATGGGAGAGGTGTCATTATTTAAAAGGGGAGGCAACAAACCACTGTGGATTTACTGATTGGTCCACGTTTGACCTGGATGAGCCTGGGCACAAGTCAGCTATGTAAATGGGGCAAACAAGTCCTTCAGCAGACTTGGTTTAAGGGAACGGCTACCACGGTGTGGCCAAGGTCACTAGTGCCGTACAGCCAAGGCTGTCTCCTCGCTCCCCGAGGCCTGTGCTCCCTCTGGTCTCACCTTGCTGCAGCTCGCTGAAGTTGATGGAGCCCGAGTGGTCCCTGTCATACTGCTGGAACAGGTTCTTCCACTGCTGGATGAAGCGCCACAGCGCCGAGAACCCAAAGAGGTCAATGCGGCCTGACTTGGTTTTATCAAACATGTCTGCCAAGGAACAACACAGCCAGAGCAGGGCAATGAGCAGCAATCCAGGGACAGCACCGTGCACACACCCATAATGCTTTCCTTCAGAAGTTCCCCATGCATTTCATAAGATATCACAAAGACAGCACAGGGAGCTCAAAATGCAGTGGAAACCTGATGTCCCAACTCCCAACCCCCGTCCTCTTAACCATGAAACTGCTGTCTCTGAAACTCTGATGCTTATGTGTTGTGGGCTGATCTACATGCAGGAATTAAATGGAGTGCACCCAAATGCCAGGGTGATAGATCTGCTGGGCTGGCAACTACCCTTAGTCTGTGTGTACGTTCATGAACCAACAGCACTACACAAGGCAGATGTGCAAGTTCCCTTTTCCAGGGAAGTAGAAAGCCCTGCCCAGAGAGCCTCTGATCAAGCATCCTGCTCCCTCCCCTTGATCTTGCATTCACCACCCATTGCTATATCAGTATTGGTCATGGCCTGCTCAGCCCATGGGGGAAAGCACATAGACGCTATACAGTTGATTTGGGGTTCACCTTATGAGGTGCAAACACACACAGATTAGGGCAGAAACACAACCAGCTCTTTGTTTTCTCCACATTAAACAGCAGCCCAGCCAAGCTCAGCGCAGAACAGCGTCTGGAGAGGAAACACCTGAACTCACTTATCATCATCAGGCAGGTTTCATCATTGAATGCAGACCAGTTGGAGTTGACCAGGGCCTGCTTGAGTTCTTTAACTGAGATGTACCCACTGCGATCAGCATCCACCGTCTGAAACCAGGAGAAGGCTTCTGGGTCCACGCCAGGTGGGATGTTACCTGTCAGGGAGAGAACATATACAGGGTCATGCAATCTCTTAGAAATCTTGCCACAGCAGCATTGGGCAGGACATCACCAACCCACCTCGCTACCAAAAGCGGAAGCCAACTCGAGCACCTTGGGAGAAAGCCTCTGGCAAGCTAGTAATTAGGGATGGAGAGATACAAGGAGACGCTGAGCCAGTATTTCCATTCTAAATGGCTGATTACAGCCCGGGTATCCATCCTACGAGCAGGTTAACAGTGGCTGAGGCCTCAGCATGCGAGGCCTCGTGAGAAACAGAGCGAGCTTAAATGAGATGTCTTCAGATCGTTTGCAAACAAACGCAAGCGATGCCACTGCAGCAGGATAAATGCCGGCAGTTGAGGGGAGACAGATGTGCGACCGTAAAGTTTAATTTCTGCTGCTTTGAGCTGCAGCCTCTTCAGCACTTTCTTCCACGGAGGAACTTTAACATAACAAACGGGGACTCTTTCCGAACTGGCAGCTTAATTGGCATGAATAATTCAGTTAAACGCTACAGCTCCCGTCCTGTTGGGCAGGGGATAGTGCTCAAATGCCTCTCAGAAGTGCCTCCAACGTCTTCCAGTGACAGCAGCACTTGCATTAGCCTGTCTGGTTGAAAGCCTTGAGCCAATCAAAAGCATAAGCCCCAGGACTTTAGACTTCCTTTTTTTTTTTAAACCCGTAGTGAAAGCAAGACAGAGGCGAGACGCTAATCCCCACGGCACAGCGGAGGCTGGGCTGAGAGGGGAATGCTTGGTTTTTTATCACGCGCCTCCCAGCTAAAGGAAAGTGCCTGCCAGGGTGGAGGATCAACCTGTGGTTTTGCAAAATGGAGGCAAGGGTTTGCTTAGAGCCGATACAGCCTGACCTCCGGCACTAGGAAGCCCCCTAGGAAAGGACTGCCCAGCTTTACAAGGAAGCAAAAACCCAAGGGAAAACTCAGGAACAGGGGGGCTGGGGCCAGGGCTCCTCTCCCGCTGCCCCCCTTCCTCCATCGCTGGGGACATGACCAAGCCCTGCTTGTGCGAGCGAGTGAGATACGCGGGCAGCCCGATGGAGGGGGTCACGCTCCTCTTACGCAGACACACGCTTGTGTACTCACCCGCCGCAGCCCCTGCTCCGTACGGTCCTGGCTGAGGGGCACCATAGGGGTTGGTCGATGGTTGCCCGTAGGGCCCTCCAGGGGCTGAACCTCCTCCATGAAGTGTGCCAGGAGCCCCAGACGGGGGTCCCCCAGGGGTGGGATGCCCATAAGCCCCTCCACCGGTTGGCGGTCCATAGGGCCCGCCAGGCGCCGGACCGCCGTAGGAGCCGCCGGGAGGCAGCCCGCCTCCGTACTGACCTCCAGCATAGTAGCCGCCCTGCGGGGCACCTGGCGCTTGCCCCGCTGATCCAGGGTAACCCTGTGGAGGAAGGGGGCAAAGGGCAGCTGAGCCTAGAGAGCACCATGGGCATCCAGCATCCCCCACGGCAACCAGACTCCCCATGACACCCTGTTGTCATGGCTACACAAAGCCGGTCCACGCCTCTTGGGCTGGTACCAGGGAAACCTCGAGGGAGGTTTATAGGACAAACCCATTGCATGGGTCGGGAGGGAGGGGGGGCG